TTGAACCACTGATGGCAGATGGACTATTCTGACGATGTCTTTCATACTTTTCTGGACCTTGACAGTGTAATTTAGGCAATTGGACAGTCACAAGCCTCCCGGTTTTCATCCAAAATATCTTAAATTGTGTTCTGAAGACGAACGAAGCTTTTACAGGTTTGGAACGACATGGGGGTAAGTGATTAATGACAATTTTCATTTTGGGGTGGAGTATACCTTTAAAAGTGTTTAAAGGATTTGGGTATCATGGAGGGAATGTCTGAGAGAATTGAAGGGAAGGGTTTGAACATGCTGAACGCATTCTGGAATGACATAGCAGAATTTCACAACATACACAACATTCCATCTTGAAATATCTTTCAAGCTGAAGAATTACAGGCCACAGTCAAGATGGACATGCTCTGGGAATGCTATTCCAACTATCTCAACTTTCAAAAAATGTCTTTAGAGCGAGAGTCTATGTTTATGCTGTTTTCCTATTAGTCACCTGATAAGTGACACTTGTATGTCTCAAAGCACGTCTTGTGATGAAGTGTCACATGTTCTAATGTTACGATTTCTGAAGTAGCAGTTGCCAGCTCTGTAAATAGTCAGCCCAGATGGAATCTGGTGTTTTTTCCCCCCACATTTTTTTGTGCTGATTTTGAAGGAAGCCCATGTATTTTGCATGTTATGATGTTAAAATGTGGGTTTAAAAGTACTACACTGTTATTGGTTGTTGAAAGCACAATCCATTAGCCAAAAAAAATGTAATAAACAAACCTGGAAGGGGCGGATCATGTGTATGAGTTTGTGAATGCTCTGTTGTGGTTTGGCCCAGAAATCAACCAAAGAAAAATGTCACTCGGTCTTATCGGTGACCCAAATGACAACTTTAGGATGACTTTTAAGTAGTTGCTTAAACAGCACACAGAGCAAAGCCTTGGCTTGAAAGCTTTCCATTACTGCCACGTGCTAAAAACATGAACATTTTCCTTGGAGAGTAACTAACACACACAAACACACAGAGATTTTTATTCCTCTCAGATATGAGTGATATAAGTAAATGGAAATATTTTCCTATATTTTTGGAAACACATAAACATGCACACATTCACATGAAAATGTAATTATTTAAAAGCATCAGTATTATATTTAATCTCTCCCCCTTTCTTTCTCCTTTTCTGCACATTTTTATCAAGTCCTTGTGGAGTGTTTTGATATTTAATATTGTTGCTAAACGTTGTTGTTGTTTTTTGCTGGAAAGTGTGTGATGCCATAGCCACCTATTACAAAAAAAAAACTTCACAACCTCTTTGGAAATGTGTTATAATATCTGCTTCTTTTACATTATATTAAATGCTACAGTAAAATGAAACAAAATATTTCTATAAATAATTGCCATTAATAACAAACCCCAAACCAACTCAAACCCTTAAATAACTAATAATCATACATACTCAAATCCAATATTTTACCTAACGTTTTTAGATTTTACACTCTCTCTGCAAGGACAGACAGGGATAGGCGTCAACTTTGTTTGAATCTGTTATGTTTGGGTCATCGTTTGGATATAGTGTCATTCTGTGCATGCATTTCACATTTCTTCTGTGCAAGCTGGAAGAATGCATCTGTGTCTACTCATTTAGAGGGCAGAGGATATACAAAGAGAGTGAGCATTATGGGTCTGAGTTTGGGTATAATTTGACAGCACTGGTCGGTCGGGCACATGATTTCAGTTAAGGACCTGGTTTAGGCTTCAACTTAATGCCTTCTGTTTATTAGTAGCTCTGCTACCTATTACTTAACTACCTTTTCATTTGCCCAGATTTTAACTCTTGGTGTTGTTCTTCCTTGACACAGAGGGAATGAGGATACTCCATATAATATATTCCATGAGATGCCCTACCCTAAGACCAAAGCTGCAGCTGAGAAAATGGTGCTGGGAGCCAATGGCACAAAGGTACAACACAATCCAGTGGAGTACAACAATCACGCATTGATTTAGAATGGACCCTGAATTTCCCTTTTTAGCATGTTTAATTATATAGAAAAAGTACAATCGGCTTTTACGAACACAGTGTTTGATTAATAAATAGAAGCAGCTTTCTCATTTTTCTTTAGCCATTATTAAAGCTGTTTCCTATCTTTAATTCACATGTATTAAATTACTGTTCTTCTAAACTCACCATTTGTTCTTAAGACTACATTCAGGAGATGCATACTACATGTTTGCATTTTTGCCAGTCTAGAAAGTTTAACTTGGTTTAATAAAATCTACTGACATTTCGATGAAATTGGAACTCATGCTTCTCATTTCATTGGTCTAGTTGCTATTTTCCAACTTTGCACAATACTGCACCCACCCAAACCCAAGGGAAATGAACGTCACATAGCACTCATGTTGGAAGCCTTAAATTATTGTGTATGGTTGGTTATAGTTACGCCATTGCTCTTTTTGTTTCAGCAAGCCATGCATTTATTGGCGTTTCCCAGTAAATACTATAAATCTTTGTAACGCTGTTGATGTATCTTCTGCATCTGAGTGAACTGTAATGTAATCGAAAGACAATCTCTTTGCTTTTCTGCTGATGTCAATTATTGATTTCTTTCTCTCCTTTGTGCCACTCTCCATGATTAGGTAAAGGGAGGGAACACTCTCTACACATGCTCACTACGGCCAACAGGTATCTATGGGGAACAGCATCAGCTCATGAAGGACTTCTATCTGAATGGGGTGCGGACAGGTGGTTGGTTGATCAAGGGAGTTCCACGGAACACAGAGCACGGAAGGGTCTATGCAGGTAACCATGGTGACAGTAGAACACAGTGAACATGGCAACAGTGGAGTTTTTTGATAGAATTTCAATTGATTTGATGTCAGTTTATCCTGTAGGGGAATTAAAGTTAAACCCCGTAGACAAATCAATATGCTCACTGAAGACCAGGAGTCAAATTTGAAATTCAATCAGTTGACAGAGTTTACTGAAGACAGAATTCTCAACACTTCCAAAGGCCATAGAAAATGAATAAGAGAAGCCAGCCTCGAACTAACTTCGAATATAGAAACACTAGTACTTATGGTCATATGGATGATCAGATGACGTAATTTCTACAGGTTCTGGTAGGTTAACAGTACAGACAACTCTAGCCAAACATGGTATTCTGTCCCCAATGCAAGATAAAGACATTAGCTTTGGCATCCCTTGTTCTATATACGTACATGTAACTTTGATAAGGGTCATAGGTGAGTCATAAATTTCTAGAAGGACTCTTCTCATGCTGTTGAAGTCTGCTGGAGACTGTTCCTTTGGCATGGTCACATGCCTCTCAAATACAACAAACAATTAGATAAAACAGGCACAATCTCTTCCTTTCAAGGTTGAGCTACAGCACATTACTGGAACAGAACAATACATTCATGCAGAAAAAACCTGATCTGAGAAACAAGAATTTCTACTTCTGATTCAGTTTAACATATAGTAACCAATGGAACTGTAAAGCGAGCATGTATAGGTGTAGTGGATACATGGTGCATTATTGACCTTCATGACCCTATAGGCACACTTGCCTTTACATGTCTTATAAAACTATCATCAGACCAGTAAAGTAAAATGAATAAGAGCAAAGTTCAAATTGATAACTCTTTTTCTAATAAAAAATATAAACATTTGATTATATAATGATTCAGATGAATGACATTGCTTGTTATATATATATATATGAATACATACATTAGTTTGAACTACTATGATTATATTACATTTAATACACTATGATTACATATTCATTATATGCTAGAAGAGGATGGGATTGGAAATCCACCCCTTCAATCCACTCCTTTTTCTCTGAATCTGAAAAAAATCTGTCACAGGACAGACCTTAGTCTAAGACAGAGGTTTTTAAACATTTTGATGCCACAGACCCCTAATTATAATGATCTCCATGCAAGGACCCCCCTTCCTAAAAAGGTAGCCATATATTTGTTTTATATAAAGACATTTGCAATGTGAAAAATAAACATCATATAAAACAGTATCTAGAAAATATATAGTAAGATTGAACTTTTTATTAGTTTATTTTTAGTTGTATAAACCTCAAGCATAAACCATAAGTAAACCATGACTGTCAATAGAATCAGTTAATTGTGATTAGTCTTTAGAAAGAATAATGATTTAATTTAATTCAATTCAATTCTGTGGTCCCCCTAGTACTCTTGGCTTTATTAAAAGGAAAAACAGCAGTACATAAAACGTGAATTTATCTGTGCTGTTTGTATATTTATGTAATGGCTTTAAAATTGCTATAATTAAGTTGCATAAGACTCATCCTGTAATCTTTAAATGACCTTGAATGTGTTTTTTGTGCATGCAGGGAACGTGGCATGGATGCACTTGCTAGCAGCACGTGCTCTGCGGGAACATCCCGATAGGCTGGGTGGGGATTTTTATTTCTGCTATGATGACTCCCCATACAAGAGCTACGATGACTTCAACATGCAGTTCTTGTCGGCCTTCAACTTTCGCTCGTTGCACGTGCCAGTGTGGGTGCTGTGGTTCATAGCATGGATGAACGACCTGATACGCTGGCTCCTGAAGCCGTTCTACAACTACACCCCACTGCTCAACGGATACACACTCGCTGTGGCCTGCACATCCTTCACTGTCTGCACAGACAAGGCGTTTCGTCACTTTCACTACCGACCGCTCTACAGCTGGGAGGAGTGCCTGGCCCGCACACAGAGCTGGGTCAACACGTTCCCTTTAGAAACCCGCACTAAGGACACCTAACAGCTGCTTCAGTGTCAGGAGGACAGTTTTCATAAACGCATCCGTGTCCAAAAATGAAAGATGAGAGGTTTTGTGACCGTGTGTGTCAAGCATGTGTCATGACTTTTCACCTGATGATGAACATTTGGATGTTGTATTGCAGTATTCAGTATGTGTTTTGATATAAGTACACGTAAACAGAGCACCTCTTAATCATATAATCACAGTTGATATGATCACAGTGAACTATTAGATGAATAAAAACGTTTTAATTATTGATGTAATAGTAACAGCTGGGAGCATAATCTTTACATTACATACAAGCACTTTCATGCAAAATGCACAAGTGAGGCTATTTTGATAGTAATCCTGCAATACAAAGCATATTGTATTCTGTTAATCTGATAGCTGAATGTATTTTATCAGTTAAGTGTTATGTAATCCACCACATATAGGTGTATATTTATACATTTCTTTGTCCAAATCATTTCACAGAAACATTTCATAACATCACTGTTATATAGACAATTATGTGCTAATGAGCACAAGCATTTAAGTTAATTGTTTATTAAAATATGTAATTGTTTGTATGAAACATTGCTAATTCTTCCGTTAAAAGAATTGCAAAACAAATTAAACTATTATATACACAAGTATTAAGCTTTTTTAACTTTATGCACATATAGTGCGGGGAAAATGTTTAGTTTTCAGTACATTGGATCTTCTTTCTACCTACCATTAGATTACTTAAATGCAGAGGTGGACAAAGTACACAACTCTATTACTACAAGTGAAAGTTGTAAAGAGATTTTTACTTGTACTTGCAGTACTTGGTTTTAAAAGTACTTGAGTACCAAAATGAAGTTTCCTGTTTTATGTCAGCCCTACCCACCCCCACAAAAGCAGGATGGTAGTGATCTCTCACAGCTCTGGCAGTGTGTGCACACATCTTGTGTAGCCATTTATCCACATTTGAACCAAGTGGACAGTGAAATTGCTGTAAATACGGACTGATAAGAAAAGGGAAATCAAACCTGCTTTAAAACTCAGCAACACAACTGTAGTTGTGTAACTTTACAACAGGAACACTGCAAAGCAAAACAGCAAGATTTATTTGACTTCAAAACAAAAATGTCAAAAATGCTCTCTAATCGTCCTTGCAGTATTTTGATGTCATACACAGAATGGTATGTGCAGTGCTGCTTCAAGTCAAATACCTACTGTGTTTTGTTAGGAGACGCACAGCAGTGAAACGGGGCGGGGGGGGACATGGCTGTCAATAGAATGAAATAATAGTGATTAATCTCATGATTTCTGACTAGTTTTTAAATAGCAAAAGGAAACCTCATTTGGCTATTTTTTTAATTAATTTATTTTTTTGTTGTGATTATTTGTTCTATTTAGATCATTTGTCAATTTATCTACATTTTACACTATTTTTACACTCAAAAGTTTTGCCTTCTAGCACTTTTGGGTTTATTTAAAAAGAAAATTTGCAGTACATAAAACTTTATAATTTATTGGTGCTTTTTATATATTTAACAACGTTAAAATTGCTATAATTAAGCTGCCAAATCCCTTGTGTGTAACGTAATTGCAGTTTTTCTCTCTGAACCACAATCTTAAAGAATTATTACAGTGACTCACAAAAACCAGACCAGATTTTCCACATCAGCTTCTATTGTTATAGACTAGAGGTATCATAGCAACCATTCTACATATGGAAGATTCTATCTGTTTAAAGATGAAAGTTTGAAATGCATAGTGCACAAGATAGATGTATCTTTTGCGCATTTAGTTGGAAAATACAGTTGTTGTTTTTTCTCTGTGTGTGTGTTCCACAGAAGAAGCAAGCTCATGCAGGTTTGCGAGAGAAAAAAATCATGACAGTATTTTCATTTTCGTGTGGACTGTTCCTTTGAATGTAGTTAGAAACTTTACAGGGGCAGATAAAAATAGAAACCTTTAAGGATCAGAAAAAACACAAGGCTGTTCCCAACTGGCTTCAATTTATGGGCATTACCTTAAAATGAGCTGTACTATGACTCATGGGAGTTCCTGGGAGTTCCATAGTGATCCTCACAATATTTATTCTTATGTAATGGATGAGTGGAATTTAACAGTTTTAACAACACTAACAGCCTGTGGTTTAACCTCGAGTGAAATACTGAAATTAGTTTAAGTTACAGATACAAACTGTATGTCCACTGCGACATCTAGTGGTTAATATGGCCAATCCGAGTAATTCACTCTGGCGTTTCAATTTCATGAAACGAGGCAACATTTCACCCAGTTCCCCCACATCCACATAATTTAAATCTTGGTTATATAAAACTGTATTCGTACAAAAAGTTAAGACCAGTTCATCGCTGTTCTAAATTTTATATATTTTTTTTATTCATTTCCTGGTTACAGATTTAGTTATTCAGTTAGATTCATCTTTAGAATGACCTGCCTATTTTCTTGACATGACATAGGCTACATTTATAGACATACATGCATTTTATGTAAAATCTAGATAAATTTGCTTTATTGGCCTCCTTGAATAATACATTTAAGGTCATTTTGCAATGGCATTCTTAACTACTTAACATTCTTAATCTATTCTCTAACCATTTTATTGTATTGCAATTTCCCTTTATATTGCATTTATTATCAGATTCCAACTTTTCCTCGCACCTTATCTCTAAATATAACTGCTCAGTTTAAAAAAAGAAAGAAAGGTTTTGTATTCATATAATCTGTAACTGATTTTGTCTTTTGTATGGCCCCTTTTGTAGCTATAACCCAAAAGAACATGCTTCAGGTTAGTAAATTGTTAAATTTAAGTAAAATTATATGATTAATAATAATCACTTAACTGCGTCAGTACTTTAATCATTATGTATGAATTTATTATTATTATTATTATTATTATTACAGCATCAAACAAAAACTGTAGCCTAACACTTTATTTTAGTGACTTTGTTATACAATATAGTATAGTACTATAGTAATACCAGTAGCCCTTAGTAACTCTAATCCTATAGTCGATAGCCTGTTGTTTATTAATATTACTCAGTACTTATTTGTGACCGTGGACCGCAAAAGCAGTCATAAGTAGCACGGGTATATTTGTAGCAATAGCCAACAATACATTGTATGGGTCAAAATGATCGATTTTTCTTTTATGCCAAAAATCATTAGGATATTAAGTAAAGATTTTCAAATAGTTGTATCTCGGCCAAATATTGTCCTATCCTAACAAACCATACATCAATGGAAAGCTTATTTATTCAGCTTTCAGATGATGTACTGTAAATGTAAATCTCACCCTTATGACTGCTTTTGTGGTCCAGGGTCACATTTGTGTAATTACACTGTAACAAAGCCACCTTAAAATAAAGTGTAACCAAAAGAACAATTAACATTTAATTTGTATTTATATATAACAGTTTTATGTTTATTTGTTATTTTACTTTTTTTATTTAATGCTCAAAACAATATACAGACAATAACAATGAGAAATAAAATAAAACAGAGAGAATAGACAAAAGAAAAAAATAAGAGGATTTAAATACAGTGATATAAATATAAAAATACTCACGGGTTTTGAGAACTACAAGTCGTTAAAACTGGAAAGGAACTGAAAACAAATAATATTACTTTTTTAAATTATTATTATTATTACATATGAAACACAGAATGACATTAATATACTACATGCCAGGGAGTAAGAAAATAATGTACCTTTTAAAAAGATTCACAGTTTTTACAGCTTTCTTATTGGAAGAGTCAGAAATCAAATACATATACAGTTTTAACTCTTCCAGAAAAAGGTTAAAGAAAGGCTTACACTTACAATATTTACATTTGTGTACAAAATATTTGGCGAGAAACAAAATAAGATTGAGTAAATAAAAAACATCTGATTGTTCTCTTTCAAAATGTGTATAACCCAGAATAACATTTTCATATTTCAATGAAATTTCAGGAATTATACCACAAAAAATACTCAAAATGTTTTTCCACAGATTCTTAGTATACTCACAATACCAAAATAAATGAGACAAATCTTCAGTTTGGAGACCACAGAAGGAGCAATTTACATCAAAATCCTCAGAAATAAACCTTTGTAAAAAACATTTTGTGGGATAGCACCGATGTATCATTTTATAAGACACTTCTTTGATCTTATTGTACAAAAATAATTTTTGAGGCAAAACCCACACTCTAACCCAGTTAATTTCACCTACATGTCTGTTCCAATAAAAGATGGCATTCGGACAAGAGACAACCTCATTCTGGAACAGAGCACGAATGCTCTTATTATTTGATTTGGTGGCAAGGGATAATTTACCGACATATGTATCAAATACATTGAGATATGGCACAATCTGAGAGACCTTGTTATTAAAACCTTTCATAAACATAATAATCCCAGAAGGGATAGCTCCAAAAACAATAGCATATTCTTTTGCTGTAATTGGGATTTTATAATGTGGCAAAAACTCCTCATATTTTAAAGGAATTCCTTGGTCATTGAATAACTGACTCGCCAAAATAATATTCTTTTAAACCCAATTATCAAAATAAATTGATTTATTCTTGTACAGCAAATCTCTGTTGTGCCAAATTATATAACTGTGTGGGGGAAAATTATGCTTGTAAATTAAAGACCATGATAAGAGACATTGTTTGTAAAAGTGAGATAATTTGGAAGGAGTTTTGTCAGGATTATAATTACATAAGAGCAAAAAATGTAGACTACCTAATTTAGAAAAAATAAAATTAGGTATAAAGTTCCATAAAGAGGTGGGATTTTTTAAGTGTTGTTTAATCCAGTTTATTTTAAATGTATAATTAAGGGTAGAAAAGCTGATGAAATTAAGTCATAAGAAGTTCATAAGAATTCATAACTACAGATTTTCTAATATAGTGTTTCTTATTTTTCCATAAGAAATTAAATAAACATTGGTCAACTGTCTTGGAAGTCTGAGCATCGACATAAAGAGATGTAGCAGAATAAGCGAGACGTGAAAGACCCTCTGCTTTAGAAAGTAAAGTTCTACCCTTGAGAGACAAATCTCTGAGTAACCATAGATTTAGTTTCTTTTTGGTCTTTTCCATAATCGGGGAAAAGTTATCAACACATCTATTCTTCATATCCTTAGAAACGACTATACTCAAGTAAGTAACTTTGTCTTTCACTGGGATGCGATCTATGTTTGTCAGACAACAAGTTTTGATTGAAAATAGTTCACATTTGTGGATATTTAAGTGTAAGCCTGATGCCCGAGAGAATAAACTAATAATATTAATAACTAAAGAAACCTGAGCAGAGTTGCGTAAAAACAGTGTAGTAGGCCTATCATCTGCGAGTTGACTCAGTATGATCTCTCTATCTGCAATATTAATGCCCTGTATAGCGCTTGCCCCAAGATAAACAGAAAGAAGTTGACCAGCTAATAAATATAAATACGGTGAGATCGGGCAGCCTTGTCTAATTCCACGTAGCAAATTAAATCTGGAAGATGAGCCCGTCTTCAATTTGATAGAACAGTTTGCATTTGCATAAAGTGTTTGAACAGCTTTGATAAAAAAAGGACCAAAACCAAACTTTTCTAAGGCAAGAAAAAGAAACTTATGTTCAACAGAATCAAATGCTTTATAAAAGTCTAAAAACAAAATAAAGCTCTCATCTACAATTAAACCAGAGTAATCAATAATATCCAACACTAATCTAATATTATTTGAAATATGCCTCCCCGATAAGAAACCAGACTGGGATTCATCTATAATAAATATGACTTTTTTTGTTGAACTATTTTAGCGCGAGCGACCTGGCTGGGCGTCGTTGCGTCAGTCGACGCTGCGAGGCGGGAGCGCGCACGTCGCTGTCACTGAGTTGGTTGTAGGAAATGCGGACACAGCGAGATGTCAGCAGGGCCGTGTTTATCTCTTCCAGCGATGCTGCCCGGTTCACATTTCAGGGAGGTATCCTGACTTTTTAAAACGCACCGCACAAGTGTACTCAATGCCAGCAGTGCTACGGATCTGTTTTCGCGCGGATGAGTGGGCACGCAGTGCGGAGCGGCAAGTGTTTAGCTAACACCGTTAGCCCAGCGGCACACTCAGACTCCCAGCCCCAGCATTTTCGGGTTTATCTTTAGGACTTTTCAATTGGCCCAGCGGCTTACCAGCGGCCTGCCTCGCTCCCGCCCTTACATTCGTTCAGCGGCGGCAGCGGCAGCGGCGGGGGGGTCACGGTAACCGGAGCAGACAGGAGCCCCCCCCCCCGGGACAGACAGCTGCGGGAATATGCCTCCCCGATAAGAAACCAGACTGGGATTCATCTATAATAAATATGACTTTTTTTGTTGAACTATTTTAGCGCGAGCGACCTGGCTGGGCGTCGTTGCGTCAGTCGACGCTGCGAGGCGGGAGCGCGCACGTCGCTGTCACTGAGTTGGTTGTAGGAAATGCGGACACAGCGAGATGTCAGCAGGGCCGTGTTTATCTCTTCCAGCGATGCTGCCCGGTTCACATTTCAGGGAGGTATCCTGACTTTTTAAAACGCACCGCACAAGTGTACTCAATGCCAGCAGTGCTACGGATCTGTTTTCGCGCGGATGAGTGGGCACGCAGTGCGGAGCGGCAAGTGTTTAGCTAACACCGTTAGCCCAGCGGCACACTCAGACTCCCAGCCCCAGCATTTTCGGGTTTATCTTTAGGACTTTTCAATTGGCCCAGCGGCTTACCAGCGGCCTGCCTCGCTCCCGCCCTTACATTCGTTCAGCGGCGGCAGCGGCAGCGGCGGGGGGGTCACGGTAACCGGAGCAGACAGGAGCCCCCCCCCCGGGACAGACAGCTGCGGGTGAGTCTGAATAATAAAGATCTTCTTTTATCTCTTCTCAGAGGGCACAGATGTATCAGAACAGATGGACACGATTAATAGCACTGTTTTCCAGCACCGTAAACCGGGAAGTTGAGCTGATCGGCCGCACTGGATAACCTTACCGTAGACACGAGCTAGCAGGTTAGCAGGCCAATTTCAGCAGCTAACAATGAGTACATTACAATTAAAAACTTGTGAATCCTAAACCGTGGAGTGAATGGTGATTTTTAGCAATATAAAGGCCGTTTGTGTTGTTGAGAGGCTGTTGCATGACAGACAGCACGATTAGCAGCTTTAGTTTAAACTTGGCAGTCACAAATCCAGCGACCCGGCGGGTAAGCTTGTCTCAGGTGCTGTCTGCTCACTTCATGACCTTGTGTGTTTTATGACTCTAGTCTTGTGTTTAAAACCATAATGTATTTTGTGTAGAGGTTGGCCTTTTTAAATGGAGGTTTCCCGGTATCCGGTTCCGTATTATTGTCCAGTCACCTCACATGTGGTTAATCACAGTATAACTGACAGCTCACAGGTTTATACCGTTGCCTTTTTAAAAACTTATAAAAAAATAAAAAGCCACATGTGTGGTTTGTTTACTACTCATTTGTCCTTACGCTTCAGATATTACTAGGCTTGGATACCCGGAACGACCACAGTTCTTGTGTATGGGTCCCACAAAAGTAGCATTGTCCGATTCATGAACGAATCGTTCCTCTGAATAGAATCTTTAGTGAATTGATTGAACCGTTTCTGCTGTAAACTACAGTTTTTTTTTTTTAAATAAAATATTTGATGACGCATATTATATACCAGCAAGCAGATGCGACCAGAATATGAACCCAATAAGCTAAATTGCATAAGCATTTTCCCATAAAGAACATACACATAAGGAGTGCTTAGTTGTATAGACAGTATATACGCACGTATATATATATGTATATGTGTGACCCTGGACCACAAAATCAGTCATAAGGGTACATTTTTTGAATTTGAGATTTATATTGTCTTTGATCTTTCAAGCTGTTTAATGCCACTCAGCGGGTGTTGCATGCATCAGTCCAAAAGCAGTTAAATAAAATGCGCCCATCCATTAAAAAAAAAGCATCTCACACGGCTCCGAGGGGTGAACAAAAGCCTTCTGTAGCGAATCGATGCGTTTTCGTAAGAAATATCCATATTCAAAACGTAATAATCACTTTAATGTAGCTTGCGCTCACAGTTGTACACAGAAGCAGCTCCGGGAGGATGACGTATGAGGTCAGTGCTGCGCATGCGCCAGTGAGTCTCGTGAAAACCAACGTTTGTTAACAGGAGCAAAGGAGGCAAAGTTTCCTTACTTTAGCAAAGGAAAACAAGTCTCCTCTTGGCATATATCGAAATCCTCTGACACTCTTCTTTACAAATCCTCATTTTGTACTTCTAATTAGTGACAGTTATTTTGTTTTGATCTCTCCCCTGCGCTTCCGC